GCGTCAACAGGTAAATAAAACTGGCCCGGCCCGCCAGGGTGCTTACCCTGGCGAGCCGCGTCCCAACGTTGCCGACCCCTGGTCTAGGCACTGCAGCTTATATACTCTGCTTGTCAGAACACAAGGATGGGTGTTCCTCTTACCAGATAATATTTTTTATTTTACTGTAGCCCCTAGAGGCCCTAATCAGGATTGTGGCTCCTCCTTCCCCTGGGTGGGCTCTCTTTCTGACTCTTCATCTCTGCCTCACTGCATGGATGGTGGCTTGGCAGTTCTGATCCGTGGCTCCTAGCTTGAGCCACAAGGCTATTGTGCCAGACAGGGGAGTCAATTTCAGTAGCTCTCAGTTCCCCTGTTAAGCATCAGAATCCCTCCTGAAAACTCACTTCTTTCTTGAGGCCCACAAACAGTAATTCATGTTGTAAAAAAGATACCACTGTGCTATTAAATCAATTAGAATTAAGCACATTCCTGTGTCATCTATTTAGTCTGTAAGTTCCTTGGGGAAGGGATCATGTCTTCCTTTTTATCTAGTACAGCACACTCTTAAGTGCTTTACAAATAAAAGACTGTGTTGCTCCCACTAAAGTTATGGCGACACTTTCCGTGGACTTCCACTGAGGTAGAATGAAGTCCAATAATATCTAAAGCTACAGTACTAGTGGCTTATGCTTGGAGAGTCTGCCAGACTATCACTGAAGGGGGAATATGTTGAAATTATTTATGCTTGTAGGAAACACTAAACTGAAGTACCTGCAAAAGTTGCATTTTAAGTTGGCCCTCATCTATAGCACACAGTTGTCAGCTCTCAAAGCAGTGGATCCACACAAATTATTTCTTTGGATAGGAAAAGGTGAACCACTTTGTGGTGATAACAATGAACAATCCTACAGATTCACCAAACCAGTCAACTGGCTGTACTGTATTTTTATTATGTGACGTGTCATTGAAGTATCCCCTCATTTGTTTCAACAACTCTTAGCAAAGCAAAAAAATAAACACACACACACACACGCATGTGTGTAATGAAAGTATTACTCAGCCATCTCTTCTCCTAGCTATGCTTCTTTCACTTACAATTAGCGTCTATGTAAGATACCTGCACACTACTCGGAATAAGCAACGTCCTTTTTAATAAAAGGTGCAATTGTCTTATTCATAGCATCATAACATAAAATACATCTTGATGTAGAAATTAAGATATGGAGTAAATATTCTTGGCAACAAAGTTAAAAACACAACGTTTTAATACATTGCTGAGGGACAAGGAGAGAAAAGAATTATTAGGATGTGGAATGACATCTACTAAGAAGTAGCTATACCTTTTTGGAATTTCATTCAGCTGATTCTTGCTGAAGTTTACAGTAGTGACAGAATTGCTTCCGACTGCATTAAATATTTCATCAGGAATCACAGCTGCTCGTTTCTCACTAAACAAAAAGCATCTTATTTAGCAGAGTAACATGAATATGTCAATCATTCTCTGTTCATTAACTGGACATTCTTCCTCTTTTAGAAAGATAATCAGCGGAAAAATTTACTGAAATGTGGATGTTTTTGAATTCCTCTTAACCAGAAGGCTATCAGAACATGGTGCCATGGTACCTCGTGCAGAGGCAATTTTATCACCTCATGCTGTGATCCTGATCTGTTCTCAGACCTTAGAAGATGTGCATTCTTGGGCCAAATCAATCCCTCAAACATGTAAGTGCCAGAGGAAAAGATGCTGGGACTACATAGGTGTCATTCTTACCTCAGAGCCAATACCCCAGTATACTGCCACAGGGTCCCTGATGCTGGAGTTGTCATCTTTCAGAATTTCTGAACATTTGTGGTAATTAAAGATCCCATGGCACTTTTCATTAGAGAAAGGGCATTAACCCTATTGTTCTGGCCCTATTCCAGCTCCAATAATTACATTGTGCACACATCCTGCAGTTTCAAGTGGATGTGGTATCTTTTTTCCACTTCTTGACCTAACCTGTGAAACATTGCTTACATTTCAATAGTAGTTGAAGAGATTCCTTACAAACCACAAAGGGGTTTGGGGAGGGTAATTTCTTAATGTTTCTAAAACACTTGAGATCTGATAAAAGGTGCTAAAGAAGTGTCTGATGCATTAACATTTCAGTGAGCTTTAAAGAAACTCTGCCATGCTTGTTACAGGGCACACAAAATAAAAAGATACAGAAGCAATACCAGGATGTGCAAGAGTTTAGGCTCGCTGCATGTCTGGGATGCACCATATAGGGCTGGCCAGAGAAACAGAATTCTGCCTTGAAAAAACGTTGGGTTTTGGAATTTATTTTCATTCCCAGTTGGAACGAAAATTAAACCTTCTGAATTTTTCACAAAAAAAACCTGTGTGCGAGAGACAGACAGACACATACACACACACACCCCCCACCCAAAATAGACAAGAAAGTGGTGGTTAGGGCCCTTACCTGGGATGTGGGAGATCAAGGTTCGAGTCCTGCCCGGTTTGGAGCAGGGACTTGAACTTTGGTCTCCCAGGGTATGTCTACACTGCAATTAAAAATCCATAGCTGGCCTGTGCCAGCTGACTCAGGCTCACAAGACTTGGGCCAAAGGGCTGTTTAATTGAAGTGTAGATGTCCCATGCTCTGGCTGGAGACTGGGCTCTAGGACCCTGCAAGGTGGGAGAGTCCCAGAGCTCAGGCTGCAGCTCGAGCCAAAAAGACATCTATACTACAATTACAGAGCCCTGCAGCCTGAGCGCCACGAGCCTGTCAGCTGACATAGGCCAACCATGGGTGTCTAATAGCAGTGTAGACATCCCACACATCCTAGGTGTGTGTCCTAATCACTGGGCAGTTCTGGATGAGTGCCTGGCTCTCTGGCTGTCTTGACCCAAGAAATCTTCTTGATGAAATTTTTGTCCAAACTGATACATTTCCACAAAATGTTTCAGTTTTGATAAAACAATGTTTTTTTACAGAAAAAAGTTTCATCAAAAATATTTTGACCAGCTCTAGCACTGAGTCTGAAAACAAAGGAAATGTAAAACAAGAAAGGATTCTTACAGTTCTAGAAATAGATAGCCTTGTGAAACACATACCTATATTCTAATACTTTTAATGCAGTTATGGCATGAATGTTAATTCTTGACTCACTTGGAAGAGTCATGGCTGTCACAGGAGACCCCTCATTTGGGCTAGTTATATCATCTAGAGAAAACAACCATACATGTAAAAAAACAGCATTTAATAGATGTTAATACTTGTATAAGCACACATGTAGTACCCTCTCTCTAGAGTTCCTACTGTTTGTTATCTGTCATCTTGAGGAAAATGGCGTCAGTGGTTAGAGAACAGTCTGGAATGTATCTCTTTAGTAAATCCAGAGAATTAAAGAATCCAAATCTATAACTGTGCATGTATGGAGCTGCGGCAACAGGCTTTAAGACACCATGTACCCAGGGGTTAGTATAAGAATCTGTCAAAATACAACTATATTCTAAGCCTAGTTTCCACTAAGAAAGGAAACTATACAGACTTTAAGCAGCACTTATAAAAAATGTATGGGAGCAGATATAGATTAACATAAGACTGGCTCTACTGGGTCAGACCAAAGGTCCATCTAGCCCTGTATCCAGTCTTCCGACAGTGGCCAGTGCCAGGTGCCCCAGAGGGAATGAACAGAATAGGTAATCATCAAGTGATTGATGATCGCTCACTCCCAGCTTCTGGCAAACAGAGGCTAGGGACACCATTCCTGGCCATCCTGGCTAATAGCCATTGCTGGACCTATCCTCCATGAATTCATCTAGTTCTTTTTTGAACCCTGTTACGGTCGTGGCCTTCACAACATCCTCTGCAAGGAGTTCCACAGGTTGACTGTGCATTGTGTGAACAAATACTTCCTTTTATTTGTTTTAAACCTACTGCCTATTAATTTCATTTGGTGACCCCTAGTTCTTGTGTTAAGGAAGTGTTGTTTACTACTTTTCATATCTACTTTCTCCACACCAGCTATGATTTTATAGACCTCAATCATATCTCCCCTTAGCCATCTCTTTTCCAAGCTGAAAAGTCCCAGTCTTATCAATCTCTCCTCATACAGAAGCCATTCCATACCCCTAATCATATTTGTTGCCCTTTTCTGAACCTTTTCCAATTCCAATATATCTTTTTTGAGATGGGGCGACCACATCTGCACACAGTATTCAAGATGTGGGCATACCATGGATTTATACAGAGGCAACATGATATTTTCTGTCCTATTATCGATCCCTTTCTTAATTATTCCCAGCATTCTGTTCACTTTTTTGACTGCCACTGCACATTGAGTGGATGTTTTCAGAGAACTATCCACAATGACTCCAAGATCTCTTTCTTGAGTGGTAACAGCTAATTTAGACCCCATCATTTTATATGTATAGTTGGGATTATGCTTTCCAATGTGTATTACTTTGCATTTCATCTGCCATTTTGTTGCCCAGTCACGCAGTTTTGAGAGATCCTTTTGTAGCTCTTCGCAGTCTACCTGCGTCTTAACTATCTTTAGTAATTTTGTACCATCTGCAAATTTTGCCACCACACTGTTTACCCCTTTTTCCAGATCATTTATGAATATGTTGAATAGGACTTGTCCCAGAACAGACCCCTGGGGGAAACCACTATTTACCTCTCTCCATTCTGAAAGCTGACCATTCATACCTACCCTTTGTTTCCTATCTTTTAACACATCCAGTCATGCTTTTACTACAGAGGGGTCAAAAACAACAACATGCATTATTTTTCAAGCCAAACTTCTATGAAACAGGACTGCTGCAGTCATCAGTTTATCTAGCTCTCAGACCTCCTAGTAACAGGTGCAATACCTAGATAGATATTGCAATAAGTGTAAGTATAACTAACTTTATCATCTGCAGCATAGCATCTCTATATAAACTAAGTGAGTCTGATAAACTACCTATATCCATACTCACTTTACCCAGTTAGTGCTAGTATTTAATTTTTCAGGACAATATCGAAGAACCTGACATTTCAAAAGCCATGTGCAACCCCGTACAAGGCACTGAACTGATTGTTTAATACTGCCATCTTCTGGTGCAAAGAGATAAACACATTATAAAAAGGAATAAATCAACCATACATAGTCAGTGAAAGGTATTATACTAGAAGGAAAAATGGTACTGAGTATGTGTATTCAAACAGCTATGCTCAGGCTATAAGCTACCAAGGACCCTTCTATATTAAATGGAGAAAGTTTCTCTAAATTCATAGATGTATGAGGCAGTTTATTTATATATACACCTATTTACCATGTAAATCAAATAACTAGATAATTTAATTTGTTTTCAGGCATACCACCATATTTTTTCCATTAGCTTTATGACAGACACATTTAAATGAAAGATCCTGAGAAATAGGTTAGAAAGGTTCATGGTACACATTTTCTCTCTTGAAAAGAGCAGAAACAAGCACAGGCAGTAGGGTGGCTAGGGCTCAGTTCCCACCCCCCACCCATTTTCTTATTTTTCACTTAGGTGCTTTTGAAAATTTTATCCACAGTCTTTCATACTATTACATAGCGTTTTGACTCTCCTATCCAGAGAGGTAGAGGCTAGATTCAAATGTAGCATCTATGTCTTCCAAGATCAAATCAGTTTTCTCTATTCAACATAAGGGGAAAGTACCCCACCAAAATTTCAAACTGGCTGTCCAGAGAAATAACTCTCCTGAAACATTCAATCTAATTCTCTAGTTTAAGATTTTTATGTTAGCCACGACATCGCTAATGGAAATAAACTACTAAATGGGGAGAAGCCAGTTCAGATGGACCTGGATTTGAATGTTTAGTTTCAGGCAATCCAAAAATACTGTTTACATTCTTAATTAGCTAAAGTAAGTCCTCATGTCATAAAAGATTATTTAAGGCAGACTCACCTACACATACACCTACCTTGGGCAGTTTAAATTTGTAATCCCGAGGGTAATGTTATTTTGCAAGTACAATTAACACTCAAATAGAGGATCAGCATTTCTCACTGTACAATCAAGCCACTGGGCAGATGAAGGAGCTTAAAAATGGTGAACTGCAGGATGTAGGTCAACTAGGAGGTTCAGAAGAAAAGCTACCATCTGAATTCCTTATGCAGAGTTTAGAGGCCATAAACTCATACGACCACAGGAGGAAAGCAATTTAAATTATCATTATTCTAAATACCCTAGAACAAATTCTTATTATTTGGATATAGTCAAATTGGTGTCATCCTCTGTGAAAATGAGGAAAGGAACATCAGTGTTAAATTATAAAAGCAAATTGTTGTGGAAAAAGAGCACTGCTAATCATATTAGGAGAACTGGACAAGATAACCAGGGCAACTTGTTCTAAGTTCTAATGCATTTAAAGCCACAACAGTTTAAAAAAAAAAAAAAAAAAAAAAAAGTCTCTTCTTTCAACATATATTGCAAAGTAATACTGTACCTTGGATTTTGCTTCTCAGATACTTCAGGAGTTCTTGGGTGCCTTTCTAAAAATGCAGAGAAAAAACATGAAGATAAAAGCACTTGTCAATCAGTATTTCTGAAATTTTATTAGAAACAATGAATGAAAAGGGTCAGTATTGTAGGGAAAGCTCATAGCACTGCATGTTATTAAGGTTGCCTGACACTTTCCACTATATCATCATGTTTTCAGTGGATTCTCAACTTTGCCAAAAACTTTAACCATTTGGGCTGAAGATTTCCATGTCTGGTATCTGCCTCAGGCTAATTTTTTGGGGAAAATGTCAATATTTCCAACAATTAAGTCAGAGAAAACCACATTGTTTTGCCAATGTTAAAATATTATGGTAACCTTTTCTTTAAAAAGCTCTAATGCCTTCATGCTTTGGAGCAAAGACTTGAAATTTGGCAGGGGGTGGACCTTTGGCTGTTCCTGTGAACATCAACCCAGATTCGGCTAAATGTAATAAGCCCTTGAAAAAATCTCAGTTCATACAAGCTCAGTAGAGAGTTCCTCACAGAGTGATCAGTTCAGTTTTCTGTACACTCTTCCCCACAAAGTGACTGAGCATGTTTCTACCTGCCCCAGGATACAGGGGTGAAGCCAGATTTTTCCTTTAATTGCCACCTCTGGCTGCTGCAAGGTTAGGAAATGTAGCCTGTATTTGAAGTGCTCTCAGTGATCTCCCTGCTGACACCCAGGCAGCATGGAGAAGGGAACCTAACTGGAATGCAGAGGGGACAAGAGCTGGACTAGCAGCAGGGAAAGGATTGGACAAGGAGCCTAGGGAGATTGGGACTGGAGAGGAGGGGAAGAGAGAAACTGTGACTGGGAGTTGGGGGAGGATGGAGACTGGGATTGAAAGTCCAAGGGGGAAGGGAAGCTGGGACTGGTTGAGCAAGGAGACCGGGATTAGGAGCTGGTGATGGAGGAGACTTGGACTGAAAGGTGCTGAGGGGAAAAATTTGTACCAGAATGCTGGAGTGTATACCACTGAGATCTGAAGAGGAGCTGGAGGGAGACTGGGATTAGAAATTAGTGGGGGGGAATGAAGACATTTGACAAGGAGCTGGGCTATGGGGAGAGTACTGGGACTGGCTGGGCAAAAAGACCTGGAAAAGGAAACAGAGATCGGAGACTGGGACAAGCAGCCAGGCAGGGTTGGGGTGGGAGACTGAGATGGAATGAAGAACCTAGTGTGAGAGACTGGAAACTGGTAACAGATGAGACAGATCAAAGAAGGAGCTAGGTGGAACTGGTTGGGCCAGGAGACAGAGGACAAGATGTTGGGCTGGGGTAGAAACAAGAGAAACTAGGAATGGAGGGAGGGAATTGGGACTCAAACAGGCAACTTGGGAGTGGGAGACTAGGACTGGCTAGGCACAGAGACTAAGATGAGAAGCTTGAGGAATGGAGACGGAGACTGAGACTATGTAGGGAAGAAGAATGGGGCTGGGACAAGGAGCCAGGGATGGGGAAGAGACAGGACTGGGACAGATTGGAAGAGACAGGGCAGAAGGATCTGCAATCACTAGAGAACACTCCCCTCTAGAACCTGGTGAAGAATCCAAGTTTTCTGAGTCTCACCGTTCCTCTGCTATCAGCTAATATATGTCAAACCCACAGGCAAAGTGGGTCTGCCATCCTCTATGAGGACAGCACTCCAGCTGGACACCTTACTTATTATCAGTTACTCTGTTAGTTCAAGTGGCAGAGGTCTGTGTGGAGAACCTAATGGTTCCAACCCCACTGATGAACCATGTGGGTTTCAATATAATAGCAAACGATGGCATTTCTGATTTTTCAATTGCTTTTTAAAAACATAGGAAATTACACAAAAAATACATTAAAAGAACATTATTAAGGTTCCTAAGTTAAGCACCCAAAAGTTAGGAAGTGCCAGAATTAATGTTGCCTGTGAAACCTTAATTTGTCCCCCTTATGACTCACTATGATACAGTCTTTAGTTCCATGCTCACGTACTATTTTTCCCACAGGACCCATGCCCCATTTGTTGCAGAAACTGGAAGTATTGCAGAAGCTGAAGTACTACTTGTAGTACTGAAGCATAAAGGTTTAGGCCCACTCATAACTAAAGGCCTGCCCCCTCAATTAAGGAGGATGAACCACTAAGCCCAGGCCACAATTGATTTCTGGGGACCACAAATGACCTGTTTTTCCAAAGGTTAAAAAAAAAAAAATCAGAGATCCAGAGGGGGACACCGAGCAGCGAACCCCTGACAGCACCCACTGCTCCTCAAAGGAGTCCAGGGAGTCAATGGACTCTGCTCAGAGAAGGGAACGGAAATAGGCCCCACAGTCAAAGAGCATCCCCCGCATACAACTTCCTCCTCCTGGTATGATGGGTGGCCACACTGGTCAACGCCAGGAGGTTGACGAAGTGGTCCTGCAATTTTGTGGAGCCACAGATGGGTGTGCAAAAATCAAGAGGTGAGGGAAGAAGCACAACCAGAATCTCAGTAAGAGGTTTTGGAGGAATCGGAAGAAGAGCTGTAAGCTGACACACCCCATGTAAATGTGTGCCCTGAAAAGGTGTGTAGTGAACAAGGCAGAGAATTGCAGAAAGAAAATGGATGGTCTCATGGTTAAGGCAGATGAATGCTGTTCTGGGGAACTGGATTCCATGCCTGCCTCTGGCACAGAGCTTCTATATGATGCTAGGAAATTCATTTAAACCAAACTTTTCATATGTGGTTACTGATTGTGTGTTCCTCATTTACTGGTGCCTAATTTAAGATCCTGGGGTCTGATTTACAGAAGCGCTGAATCATACAAAACTGCAGCTGAAGTCAATGGGAGTTCTGCTCTGAACCTACAGAGTGCTATATAATGCTAAGTGCTCTGAAAAATCAGGTTCTAGCTGTCTCAAATTGGGCAGCCAAAATTAGCGGATACTTCTGACCTTAATTTCTCAGTTCCCCATCTGTAAAATGGGGATAATACCATACCCTCACTTCACAGGGGTATTGTAAACAATCATTCTGAAGCACTCAGATACTATAGTGATAAGAACCTGTCGTGGGGTATTCAAACCCTGTACCAGGAAGGAGGAATTAAGAACCAACTCTGGGCCTGGGGAACCCTACCCTGCCACACCTGCAAAGCATGTATGGCTTGGAGGAGGAGCTCAAAAGGAGAACAGACCAGCTCTGTAGGAGGGAAGACAATGGAGATAAAGTGACCTTCACATGCAGCTCCTGGGAAGAAGCACTGCAGGTGGTCCAGCTGCCTGAGCTTTCTGGCTGTGGTGACTTTGCCAAACCCAAAGAGGAAGGACATGCATAAGCTCTGAGACTTTCCCTTTGATTTCAGTTTTTTAGTGACTATGCATTGGGAAAGAGGGGACTAGTAGGAAGTGATCCAGGGAAGCAGCAGTATAGTATTTTGGGTGCATAATTTAGCTGCCTACTATTGCACCTGGAATTGGAACCTTAGGAGAGGGCAGGTGCCTGTTCTTCATATGGGGGAATTTGGACAAGAGAAGACCTTGAAGTCAAAGAAGAGTCAAGAGCCTGAGACCCCGACCAGGTGAGTTCTGGAGCCCTTCGCCTGACCATAGGTCTGTCTATTGCTGGACTCTTTATATATCCCCAATAGGGCAGACATAAATATAGGACCTGGACGGAGGGCTGAGTCACAAGAGGGGGCAGACCATTACAGGGCTGGAGCAGTTATCTGCAGGGCATACCCAGAAAGAGGAGAGTCTACTACACCTGCACCCGGCCACAAGGAGTCAATTCCTTCACAGTGCCACAGAAAACCCCACAAGGAAATTAATAATTCTGTATTCAGAGCAGGGTTTGAATAGTATGCAGGCCACACACTGAAGAATGAGGAGAAAACACTATTGAATAGCTACTCATTAATTTATCATCATCCATCCTGTGCACTGAATAAGGTAGGGGTTCTGTGGAAAAAGACAGGATATAATAACGTAATTAAAGACTATCATAATGCATACATATGGCAGGAGACAACATAATTAAGGTTACACAATCAACCTTAATTGTGGCATTCCCTAACTTTTGAGAGCTTGCCTTTGTAATTTTAATGAAGTCCTTTAACATAGGAATCAAATACAGCTTGATATATCAAACTAAGTGTACTTACCTGTAACATGTCTCTTCGAATAGTTCTCAAAGGATTTCCCTCTAATGCCAGGAGTTTCAACTGAGGAAGATTCCCCAGAGCACAAGGCAAGCTGCAAATAGAAGTAGCTCATTTCAGAGACTGACTTCAACAAAAGTAGAATATGATTAGCACCAGTCAGTCAGATCATCTACTATTCTGAATCTTAGATACACAAGGATATCACATGTAAGAAAGAAGATGTAGTGGAATCAAGACCACAAAAGGTAAAGTGAATCAGAAGAACCACCTCAGGGTTCAATTTTATTTTATAACCAAATCATTTAGTTGTTTTACAAAAATACTGAAGCACAATGTAAGTTTATAACTACAGAATTATTAGAATAATAATTCACTGCTGCAAACAATGAAGACTGATTTCATTAGTTATGCCTCACCACAGATTCATGTGGTTTTTAATCTTACCTACTGATATCATTGTTGGTTAAGTCAAGTCGCTCCAACCCCTGAAGCAGAGTAATTTCATCAGGCAGTGATTTTAGCTTGTTATCTCTAAGCTCTAACACGCAGAGAGAATTCAGATGCTTAAGATGCTCTGCACTTAACACTTCAATCTGATTTTCACCAACATGTAACTCCTATTGAAGCAGAGAGCATCAAAATTATATTTCTGTGGCAAAATGTAATTTACTCATCTCAACTCTGACACTGCACCTCCATTTTAGGGTGTCCAACTTGACAAAGTGAAGGGGGTAATGTTCATAATTACAAGTCACTTCTGAAAATCTTGATCTTAAAAACCTAACTGCAGGAACCCACATTTGAAAAAGTTAGCCTTAAATCTTTTTTGTCCTTAAAGCTCTGTTGCTTATCCCATTTCTGAAGGGTTTGTTATTGAAAAGTAACAACACTATCATTGTTATAGATACCACAGATAATTCATTTACAATATAGTACATGGCCTAATTACTAAAGAGGAGAATTTTTTTCATTTCCTTCATAGCCCTTTCGTATATTTTTCTCATGTTATAAAAAACTACTGTCCCCTACCAAAGATACTTATACTAACTGATGATTAATATTAAAGTTATGGGGCTAACTGTAAATAAAGCAGATATGCTCTCAAAGCATACATGTCTCAAAGCATGGGAGGAAGAGAAGAAGTATGTAGAAAAGAAAGGGGGTAGGTTCCCTTGTAGGATCCCCACTTACATACAGAAGACAAATCTTTCCTCATCAAAACATTTAAGAAACTTCAATAGAGACTTATAAACCACAACACAATAGGCATTCTATAGTCTGTTACTCAGCTAATATGCAAGATCCTGCATCATCAAGTATTAAGAATTTTGGTCACAAACGAACATTTGGGTATATGGTTTGTATGTATAGAAAGACTACATATCTTCCCTGCAACAAAAAGCTAGGAATAGCAATAACTTCCTTTCCAGTAAATCTGGATCTTCGGACATCACAGCACATTGATCCACGTAGGTTTTGCTATAGGTTTACACTATATGACTCTGTGTATATCTATATGACTCACAGAATGCAACAAAAGCACGCCTTGCAGATGTCAATGGGATTTATTTTAGGTTTTGCCTTCTGCACTCAAGATGCAGTTCTCAAATCATAAAACAAATGTGAATAGAATTTACAGTCTATACATGGAGAGATGTGCTTCTCATATAAGCTTTCAGAATATTCTTACTCAAGACAGGTCCATCTTCCTGCTAGGTACAGATCAGACGGACAGCCCATCATTTTACAAAATGCTTGGAACAACAAAGCATTTCTAGAGACTAGTATAAATCATATATCTACTGTATATTATTACATTCAGTTTTTTCAGTCATTCCCCATAATCCTCATTTTTATTTTCCCAAATTTAAAGATAGTTGTAGATTTATCTTCCAGTTTAAGTTTAACTATTACTTGTAACTGTTATTACTGTGCACACAGATAACAATTCTGTGCCTAGCATTATAGTTTAAGATAACGTTTAAAGTAATTTGTGATAATTTACATGATCACAACAACAAAGCAAGGTTAAGAAAAAAAGTTTACTCCGAACCCATTTAGATTACAAAAGCTGTAACAAAACATACCTTCAGTAACTTGCATGATGGAAATTCTGGTAAATACTGTAATTTATTTTTTCTTAGATAAAGCTGTTCTAAAGATGCCATGCTGGCCAATTCAGAAGGTATGGTTTCCAACTGGTTTTTAGTACAATCCAGTTGTTTTAAGCCTAGAGAAATAATTTCAGTGGTGAAAAACTGAAATATCAAAAATTCTAAAATTTACTTTTACTAGAGATGCAGATGGCACCCAAAATATGCTTTTCTAAAATAAGCTTTATGTGGCAGCTGTCAATTTCAGAAATACCTACACCTTCAGTGTTTGCAAAAGCTTTCTGTTTGTCTAATTATAAACAGACTTCAAAGATTTTCAGAGTACTCTATCCACATTAAATATTAAGTATTCAATGACAATGCAGAGAGTTGGCCACATAGTAGGCCTTGTGTGGGGGCTGGGATTGGAGGTGGTATGGAGGGATCACAAGCTAGTCTACACATAGTTAAAGTATGTCAGTTTAGAAACTTAGGGTATGTCTTCACTACTGGCTGGATCGGCAGGCAGCGATCGATCCAGAGGGAATCGATTTATCGCGTCTAGTTTATAGGCAATAAATCGAGCCCCAAGGCCTCTCTCATCAACTCCTGTACTCCAGCTCAGCGAGAGGCGCAGGTAGAGTCGATGGGGGAGCGGCAGCAGTCGACTCACTGTGGCGAAGACGCCACGGTACGTCGATCCAAGTACGTCAACTTCAGCTACGTTATTCACGTAGACCAGGCCTAACAGTCTACCATCAGTACACAATCTGTTCCTCTTTATCTGCTACAGCAATTACGGTCCATATTTAGCTTAAATGGCTATTAAGCCTGATGATTTAAGATGATTCAAAGATTAAAGCTGAACTTTTACAAGTAATCCATTTATACTTTCTCCAGCTCTAATTCCACCACCTCCTTTATGCGCTTGGTTTTCCATACAGCATATGCCATAAGGCTCATCTGTTATATAATCTTAACCAGAACACTAGCCTCTAAGCAGAACAAGGTTTATCCTTGCTCTTCTTTGATTACTCCTCACATTCCATCAAGAAATGACAGCTATCGGAAACCTGAAGTTTGATATCCAGAGAACCCATGAGCTATGACTAATTTCAGCCATTTACAGTACCTCACATTATACCTATTTATTCAGCTGCAATAAAAATGCAAGCAACATCTTTCAAGACAAGAGACTATAGATTTATTGTAAGACATTTAAAATGCTGTGGGAAACTAGTTTACTTTTCATTGCGCTGATTTCTGCTGGCAGGTTCTTCAGTTGGTTATGGGCCAAATTGAGTCGCACCAAACTGGTTAGGGAAGCAAAACTGGATGGAATGGTTGCAAGTTGGTTGTTGGAAAGATCCTGGGCGGGGAAAAAAAAAATAATTGAGACATGGTAGACAAAATGGCTTTGAAGAGTGTTTAGAAACAGCCCATGTGCAAAGTTAATCACTGAGAGAGAACATCAAATGTAGTTGGGTAGCATGTTTGGGAGTTTCCCTCGTTTAGGGACAAGAGCAGAAGACATGGTTCTCCAGTAGTGGTGAGAGTAGCGTCAAATACAGTAGTTTTTCTATCCCATGCTTCAAACATCCTTACATTTTGTTGGCTTTTCTTTAACCGCTGCTATGTATTGATAGATTATTTCATTGAGCTGTCCGTGACGACAACCAGGGGTGGGATATTCACAAGTGCCTAAGTGACTTAGGAGCCCAGGTCCCTTTGATTTTTTTGCTACACATTTGAAAGACTTTGGAAAGGGTTTAATATTAACTTCAAGATAATAAACTTTACATCTATTGTCTTTAGCTAAGTGTGATGCTGCAAAAAGCTCTAATATTTGGCAAACTAAATAACATGGTTTCAATCAGACATAGTGTCACATCCAATGGTACCCAGAAATCATTAGAATATTTTAAAATACTTATGAAGTGGGTGTAGATGGTAGCCCTGTCAAAGACAAAGTTCAAAGTTTTTGAATTGCCAATAGCAAAGTACAGATAAACCAGCTAACCAAGAAAAAAAATCCATTAGAAAAAGACGCAACTTACTAACTCTTCTAAACTGATAAGCTGTCCAAACCCATCCGGTAAATGACTCAACTCATTGTGTTGGAGAAGTAGGCTCTTCAAGTGTTTCAACTGTGTCAGCTCTTCTGGAATATTTTTCAGCTTGTTGTGACTAGTAATAAAATAATAAATGTGAAGGGATACATGAGTATGAACCTGTTCTAAATTCAACTGTTTGAAATATTTCTGTTTCACACAGCACTGTGCAAGATAGTTAAGGTTAAGGTAGTAGTACAAATGTAAATGGATATAAATATTAAGCAGATTTTTAATGGTTAGTTTTCTAGGTTGTCCTCCCTTATGTTTATTTGCTCAAGACGACTTTAAACCACCATCTGAAGTTATGCTTCAGCTGAATCTTGCCTAGTTGCTATTCTACCAGACAGCATCTTAAAGAAAATTGTACCTATATTTTTCAGTCCACAAATCTGAAGGTTCATATGGTAAGAACCACTTTTCAACACGAATACGCTTTTAAAGTTTCATTGTCAAACACATTCCATATGAAGAGTACTTTTTATCCTTTAAACTGAAGCTGTTAGACTGAGCGCACATCTTCCTTTGAAGAATTAATAGATGAAAACCTAAAAACTACCACAAGACTAAGGAAAGGCCTTCCCTGATCATATCAAAACCCAAATATTGAGGTTTTCAGTGTTTTAAATATGTTCATGAAGTACAAAAACAAATTCTGTCAATACAGAGACAAAAAAAAGAGCATAAAGGCTTGTGGAGGTGCCTTGCAAGTCCAGGATCTAAGCCAAAGCTCACTGAAGTCAATGGACAGACTTCAGTTCACTTCAGTGTGCTTCAGATCAAGCGCCTAATCACCAGAAAGCAATGCACCTTGCTATATATAGTAACTTAGTCCAAGACTTTCAGAAGTAATGAAGGAATTGAATCCCCAACTCTCGTTGACTTTTAATGAGTTAAGAGAGTTGGGCGCATAGCCCCCTTTGCACTTTTGAAAAATTCCATCCTTGGTGCCCGGAATCTTCAACATCCTTATTTGTCACGTGATAGGAGAAGTAACAACATATAGTGTACATTTATCAGGAAATCAAACTGAAGTTTTAGAACATCAAAAATATTTAAATGTAGAGACAACATATGTTTTCAGTGAGCAGTGACATCTCCAAGACTCAGGCTCCCACTCTTTCACTGAGTGTTTAAATACAAATAATGTTGGCCTTCTTCATGAAAGAAGTGCTGTCCGTTTGTTTTCAGGGCTGCCTTGCCAGAATTCTATTCACTAACTAGTCCCAGAAGATATTGGGGGGAGGGAGGGGGAGGACGGGACCCCCACCCACAGACCTCAACAGGCAAATGGAATGTCATTACATTTTTCTATTATCAGTCAATCAAATGAGTAGATTCTGTATCTGAGCTGGTAAATTTTCACAACAATTTTACATGACTCATGTGAGCATGCTCAGACCACTGTTTTCTCCAAGCATCCTTACGTGTGTCAAGTGTCAGCAGTGGTGATCACATTCCAGATAAAAATATGACTTAGTCACAACACTTCTAAGAACTGAAACCTGAGAGATCCAGGGTCTTGGGTCTGAGATGTACACTTACACAAGTAAGGATTAACATCACTGGGCTAAAAGCTCTGAAAATTAGCCGGAAGAACTGTGTATAGAAAAACCAATGAATATAATCATTGACCAATAACAGTTTAAAAAGGTGACAAATCAAGGCCTCAATCCTGCAAGTAGAACCATGAAGGCAGCCCCCAATGCCTGTGCAATTTGTCTACCTAGGCATAGCAGTTTATCTGCATGATTCTCTTTGCACAATCAAGGACCAAAATGGGACTTTGTCATTTTATGAACTTTACACTAAAATATCAAATTGAAAGCCTGACTACACTCACAAAGTTCTCCCCTCACTGCTACAAACACATTTAATAACACTGAACACAGTGCTGGTTTAGAGAGCTTTTCTTAAATTACAGGAAGACAATTTTAGAAGATTTTAAGTTTCTTAACCACTCGACGCATATTTACTGTATTCAGATTTGTAAAACATATTTACCTGACACTGAGCTTCTGAAGATTTTCCAAAAATCCTATAGCAGAAGGAATAGATGTCAGCTGATTATCATGTACCTAGAAACAAAAAGGTTTTAGAAGTGTAACTGCTTATCAATACCCTTTTTTTTTAATATAGCCAAGAAACAAACTATGCTACATGCATACAAAAGAAAATTTTGTACAAGGGCCTTGACAAGTGCAAATTGTCAGGATAATTTCATTACTAATAGAACACTACAGAGTTACCTGTCTGATAAAAGCTTCACTCAGTTGACAGGAAAAGCTGTGAGAAGCAGAGGTGAGAGATGAACTAAAAAGGTTGGGGGAAAGTGAAAAAAACAGCCTCCTTCTAATGGGGTACAGGGGAGGCCCCCCCTCCCATTGGCGGACAGGCAGTAAAGCTCTGCTTTTTCCCCCCAGCAGACAGGAGGAAAGGGGCAGAGGAGAATTTACCAGACACTTTGAAGTCAAGATGAAAGACATTTCTCTACTGGGAAGTCCAGTTCTCTTCTTCCCAGCAGCTTGATGGGGGCAAGTCTATCCCAAAGTGCTATAGCTGAATCCTTTGATTTGAGATTCCCCCTAACCAACCAACCACACACACACACACACTTCTGATCTTCTGTATCTACCTCTGGCTGTATCTAAGTTTTTCCAAGTTCTGAAAAAACAACAAGGAGTCCTGTGGCACCCTAAAGACTAACAGATTTATTTGGGCATAAGCTTTCATAGGTAAAAAACCTCACTTCTTCAGATGCATGGAGTGAAAGGTACAGATGCAGGCATTATATAATGACACATGGAGAAGGGAGTACCTCACAAGTGGAGAACACTGGTGAGGTACTCCCTTCTCTTCATGTGCCACTGTGAATACTGTGAGGTACTCCCTTCTCTTCATGTGTCATTATATAATGCCTGCATCCGTAACTTTCACTCCATGCATCTGAAGAAGTGAGGTTTTTTACCCACAGAAGCCCAAATAAATCTATTAGTCTTTAAGGTGCCACCGGACTCCTTGTTGTTTTTATGGATACAGACTAACACGGCTACCCCCCCGATACTTGACTCCAAGTTCTGAGTACATCTATTCCTTAATTTTTCACTCCTTCAGTGATCCTCCCAAGAACCCTATCCAAATGCCCTTATTCACCGCTACCATCCAGAAAAGGGCATTGCCAGGGCAACCTTCCCTCCAGGAAAGAAGAAACAACTCTCTCCCAAACCAACCAGTACCACTGTTTTAGCTTGTTAAGGGCATCAGAGTATGCTTTCATGCTGACAGGATCTGAGCACATTGCCTCTGCAGCACTCCAGGTGCCAGAACACAAGATATTACAGTGTTATTGCAGTGCTCTTGTGATTACTAATATACTAAAAACCTGAGGTACTGAGATACAATTGTGATGGTGGCTAAATAAATACCTAGAGAGTTTGTGGGGAAGGAGTGTAGACGAGGGACTCAAAATTCTGTTTTGGGTCCTGACGATCCCCCAGGTGCCTTTTCTCCTCAAAGACACTATCTAGGCAAATCTCTATCAAGGAGGAGGACTGGACTTGGGTCCTCACAGGCAAGTTATAAATAATTGTCCATTATGGAGTATCCGGGACCTTCCTGTGAAAAATTTGGTTCTGGCAACTGTCAAAAACAGGATACTAGATTAGATGCACCATTAATCTGATATGTTATAACAATTCCTACATTTCCCTAGGAACACACCAATACCACTTTAATACATCCAGCATTTAATATAAGAGAGGGGAACTTGAGACCTCTGTGAGGAAATCTAGTCCTTCCCCCACCCTTCCAGAATGCAAGCACAATCTGATAACAGGTGCTCTTTACTTACATCCAGTACAGTGAGAGCAGGCAAAAGTCTGACATCCTCAGAAAGACACTGCAGTTTGTTTGAGGCTAAGATGAGTTTGGTCAGATCTGTTTGCTCCCACCAGCGATCAGCAGCACCAAAAGACAGATTTTGATGGGCTTCCTCGGGAATATCCAAATTTATTCGCCACACATTCGCAGGTACTACACACAAACAAAAGTGGCATATTTGTACAATAAACGTCTCCAATATTTAACCTTAAGCTTTTACTGTCATCACTGTGGTTATCCAAAAATGTTTAATAACTTTATTCTTCACAGAGCTGGTTGGAATATTTGTTCAAATGAAATGGACAAAAAATTGACTACTTTCACTAGTATTTCCCCCCTATTTTCTGATCAGCTCTCATTCTTAACCAAAGTACTTATGTAATCATAAATTGTAGTTAAACCAGCTGAATTGGCTGAGCATCATGGAGAGTGTGAGGAAGAAGGTGTCAGATCCTCATAACTGAAAGGGCTTGAAAAAGGCATTTACAATTCTGGGAATCTACAGAATCCCCAGCTGCTCCTGAACAGCCAGGTGCCACTGCTTGTCTAAACTCTAAAGGACCTTTTTTAATAATCTGTGCTTGGTTGCAACAGCCAGATCCTTTTTTTTATTTATTTGAACCTATGCCTTTGTAGTATCCAGAGTTGAGTTGAATATTATAATGCGCTATCCCTCAGGACTGTCCAGAAGCTTCAGCTAGAGCAGAATCCATCAGCTCGCTTATTGCCAGGGTTAGCCTTATACAAAGAGAGCACATCACAACTATGACCTACCTTCCAATGGCATTCCCAAGCCCTATGTGGTTGGGAGCCTAGCTATCAGAAGACTTTTTGGGAGAGTCACCTACCAGTCCGGATCTACCAGCCTTAGCAACAACGGGAGCCCTATTTAACATACAAGCCCAGGCCCACACATGGGCGGATAAAACAAACATGTAGCATCACATCTTCAAAGCGCTGCATTAACAGTGCCCCGGGTTATTCAGATCCCGCAAGGGGGACAGCCTGGCACCCCCCCTTACCCGCATGGCCCTAATGTGAAGCACTCGCCTTGAGTCCCGTGACGAGCTCTGGAGCAGCCCGCCCAGGGATCCCAGCCCTGCCGTGGGGCACCCACCTACCCAGCACGGTGAGCCAGGTGCCCCTTCCCTGGGCGGTGGGGTAGCAGCATGTCTGCCCCTGGGGGAAGGGCAGGGCGTGGCCTCGGCGCACAAGGGGGAGGGATACGCCGGTCTCCTTCATGCCTTCGAGCGAGCCCGCCCCCCGCCTGCCGGGGAGCCCCACACACCGGGTAGGGGAGCGGCCCTAGGCTCTCGCTCTCACCCTCACTCAGGTCGCGGCCTGCCAGGTTTAACTGGCCGTTCTTCCTGGCCGCTCTGATCAGCCCCTGCGGCACCGCGGGCCCCGGCTCCCCCGCGTCCCGCCTGAAACCGGCGCGAGGATCTCCCGCTTTCCCTCGGCGTGCCGCCGCCATGTCCCCACAGAGCGCCGCACGCGGCCCGCCCAGGCCCAGCCTCCCCTCGACCGCGTCAGCCCGCCCCCCAAACCAGGGAGGCGGGCGGAGCCAGCCACGGCCTCCGCGTTCAGCGCCGGCGGGCGCGGTGGGGTGGGGTCACCGCCTGCCTCCAGGGTGCCTCTGCCGCAACTCCACCCCCAACGTGGGCCCCTCTGCCCCAATCACCCCTTCAGGCCCTGTCCGCCGCCTCAGTGAGTCTGGGAAATCTGCCCCCATTCCTCCTCGCTGGCTACAATTCACTTGCCCCCCCCCGACTTCTCCTTGTGTCTGTGGTGGTGTTTTGTCCTCTGTGTTAAAGGGGGAACCTAACAGTGCCAAGCGCGATGCATGGGTCAGCGACCACCGCCATCCGCAGTTTGTTAGCAAATGGCATTAACCCCGCGGGGTAGTCTTCTATCCATCGAAATATCCAAGTCCCTTCTGAATCTTGCTCGAGCCCTTCCTTACTACTTCCTTACTGATCTGTGAGCCGGAGAGGCTCCAGATTAACTTTTAGACCCCGGGCTGAGTGAGTTTGTAGAGATGGCAGTTAGAAAAACCATCTTGTAAACTGAACGGATTGGATCTGGAGTCATCCTGAGAAAATGAACCCGGAACCCCACAACGTCCTTCCACAAAGTAACTTTTCAGAGTAGAATCACACTTTAAAACCTTGTGATTGTTTTGTAAAAACCTAGTTTACTCAAACTTCTGACAAACACCTGGGAGAAAAGCTTTGCGAAGATTCAGCTCATTTCAAATTGAGGTCTAAGAGTGCTCCTGCTCCCTCCAGAGAAACCCTGTTTTTCTCAGAAGACCCCATGCACTGCTATGGGTACCCGCATGGCCCCACAGTATGCCAACATTTTTATGGCTGACTTAGAACAACGCTTCCTTAGCTCTCGTCCCCTAACGCCCCTACTCTACTTGTGCTACATTGATGACATCTTCATCATCTGGACCCATGGAAAAGAAGCCCTTGAGGAATCCCACCATGATTTCAATAATTTCTATCCCACCATCAACCTCAGCCTAGATCAATCCACACAAGCGGTCCATTTCCTGGACACTACTGTGCTAATAAGTGATGGTCATATAAATACCACCCTATACCGGAAACCTACTGACCGCTACACTTACCTACATGCCTCTAGCTTCCATCCAGGACACACCACACGATCCATTGTCTACAGCCAAGCTCTAAGATATAACCGCATTTGCTCCAATCCCTCAGATAGAGACAAGCACCTACAAGATCTCTATCAAGCATTCTTAAAACTACAATACCCACCTTCTGAAGTGAAAAAACAGATTGACAGAGCCAGACGAGTACCCAGAAGTCACCTCCTACAAGACAGGGCCAACAAAGAAAATAACAGAACACCACTAGCTGTCACCTTCAGCCCCCAACTAAAACCTCTCCAGCGCATCATCAGAGATCTACAACCTATCCTGAAAGATGATCCTTTACTCTCACAGATCTTGGGAGACAGACCTGTCCTCGCTTACAGACAACCCCCCAACCTAAAGCAAATACTCACCAGCAACCACACATCACTGAACAAAAACACTGACCCAGGAACCTATCCTTGTAACAAAGCCCGATGCCAACTCTGTCCACATATCTATTCAAGTGACATCATCATAGGGCCTAATCACATCAGCCATACCATCAGGGGCTCATTCACCTGCACAGCTACCAATGTGACATATGCCATCATGTGCCAGCAATGCCCCTCTGCCATGTACATTGGCCAAACCGGACAGTCTCTACGCAAAAGAATTAATGGACACAAATCTGACATCAGGAATCATAATACTCAAAAACCAGTGGGAGAACACTTTAACCTGTCTGGCCATTCTATGACAGACCTGCGGGTGGCTATCTTAAAACAGAAAAACTTCAAAAACAGACTCCAACGAGAGACTGCTGAGCTGGAATTGATATGCAAACTAGACACAATCAACACAGGATTAAATAAAGACTGGGAATGGCTGAGCCATTACAAACATTGAATCTATCTCCCCTTGTAAGTATTTTCACACTTGCTTCTTATCAAACTGTCTGTACTGAGCCATCTTGATTATCTCTTCAAAAGTTTTTTTTCTCTTACTTAATTGGCCTCTCAGAGTTGGTAAGACAACTCCCACCTGTTCATGCTCTCTGTATGTGTGTGTATATATATCTCCTCAATATATGTTTCACTCTATATGCATCCGAAGAAGTGGGTTGTAGCCCACGAAAGCTTATGCTCTAATAAATTTGTTAGTCTCTAAGGTGCCACAAGTACTCCTGTTCTTTATGCATAATAGGAGAGCTAATATATTTAGATTATGTTAGAGAGGCCAGGCAAGTGAAGTCTGATTGCAGTAGGACATGATATCTAATCAGACCATTTAAAACTTTGCTCATTAATAATTTTGTAAACTATTTAACAAATACTTTGGAGAAAAACTCTTTGTTGAACATTCAGCATGTCTGCATCTTCAGCTAAAGATGGAGAAAGACCCCAATCCCCTCAGTTATCCAGAAGTCCTCAAATGAAAACAGGGGAGATTTGCCATTCCTGAAATTTCTAAGAAAAAGCAAGCAGAAAAAAAAACCCGTTTCAAAACTTCTTTATGTACCATAAACAAACACAAAGGGCACTAAAACAAAGTTTTTCTTCTTTTACAGGTCACATTTAATGTGGTCAGTATGTGGAATTGTCTTGTTTTAAAATAATATACACTGATGGTTTTGCTATCAAATGTATTTGGGAATGGTGGACAACTGTCCCACACCAAGACAATACAATTCTGGTGGGAAGGCTGTTCTTCCCCCAGCTACATCCCTTCTAACTCTTGATGTTTCTCTATAACAGACACTCATCCTCTATTCATTTTCATCTCCTCCCACACCTGCTTCCCGAAGACATCTGTCCTGAGCATGCATGCTGTATTTCCCATTTCTCAAACCCCAATCCTCACTGTGAGAGACTCCCCCCCCCATGCACAGTCTCCTCCCTGAGAGACAATGGCCTCTTTCATGAAATTCCCCCATCCCTCCCACACACACTCTTCTTCTTCCTCCCCTCCTCCTCCCTGATGAAGCAAAGAAATGTCCCATGCCTGGTTTCCAATCCCATTTCCTCAAAGAGGAAAGATGGATGTTTCTCATAGCACAGTCTTGCTCTGATTCTAGGTCCCCTGAAAAAATGGAAAGAGATAGGCCCCCCATCCTTTTCTCCCACCATAGAATTCCATAACTGATTCTACTGTACTGGAGAAGTGGCCTAAGAAGGTATTAATTATTATTATTATACATATTATTCAACTACCCAGACATCTGTTTGGAAAATAATACAGCAGGGCACAGACTATCCAAAAGTTACTGGAATATATCGGAGACCATTTTTTATTTCAGAAGTTGGAGAAAGCTTCTAGAGGAGAGGCTGTTCTAGAAGGTGGGTGTGTAACTGGTTGGAAAATCGTTTCCAGAGAGTAGTTATCAGTGGTTCACAGTCATGCTGGAAGGGCATAACGAGTGGGGTCCTGCAGGAATCTGTTCTGGATTCGGTTCTGTTCAATATCTTCATCAATGATTTAGATAATGGCATAGAGAGCACACTTATAAAGTTTGCAGACTATACCAAGTTGGGAGGGGTTGCAAGTGCTTTGGAGGCTAGGATTAAAATTCAAAATGATCTAGACAAACTGGAGAAATGGTCTGAAGTAAACTGGATGAAATTCAATGAGGACAAATGTAAAGTACTCCACTTAGGAAGGAACAATCAGTTGCACACATACAAAATGGGAAATGACTGCCTAGGAAGGAGTATTGTGGAAAGCGATGATCTGGGGGTCATAGTGGATCACAAGCTAAATATGAGTAAACAGTGTAACACTGTTGCAAAAAAAGCAAACATCATTCTGGCATGTATTAGCAGGAGTGTTGTAATCAAGAAATGAGAAGTAATTCTTCCACTCTACTCTGTGCTGATTAGGCCTCAACTGAAGAATTTGTATCCAGTTCTGGGCACCACATTTCAGGTAAAACGTGGGCAAATTGCAGAAAGTCCAGAGAAGAGCAACAAAAATGATTACAGGTCTAGAAAACATGACCTATGAGGGAAGATTGAAAAAAATGGATTTGTTTAATCTGGAAAAGAGAAGACTCGGAGGGGACATGATAACAGTTTTCAAATACATAAAAGGTTGTTACAAGGTGACGGAAGAAAAATTATTCTCCTTAACCCCTGAGAATAGGACAAGAAGCATTGGGCTTAAATTGCAGAAAAGGCGGCTTAGGTTGGATGTTAAGAAAAACTTCCTGTCAGGGTGGTTAAGCACTGGAATAAATTGCCCAGGGAGGTTCTGGAATTGCCATCATTGGTGATTTTTAAGAACACATTAGACAAACATCTGTTAGGGATGGTCTAGATCAGGGTTCTCAATCTTTTTCTTGCTGAGGCCCCCCTCAACATGCTATAAAAATGCCAGGGCCTATCGGGGAAGGAGGGGAGGGAACTCAGGGGTCCGGGGGGGGGACGACCCTTGGGCATAGGCATAGTTTTAATTTCTATGGTGGGGGGGGGCTCCCAGTGTGGCTTCCAGCTTTGTGGGGGGGGGTGATATGCTGGGGGTCCTGGCTTGGGTGCGGGAGGGAGGTTGGTCAGCTTCAGTCCCATGCCGCTCCTGGTGGGGTGGCTTCAGCTCCATGCCATTCCTGGCTTGGGGGGGAGGCGCGGTGCCAGCTTCAGCGCTGGGACTTGGGGCACTGGGTTTCAGCTGCAGGGATATGCAGCCCCCCTGAAAGGACTCGCAGACCCTCGGTTGAGAACCGCTGTCTAGATAATACTTAGTCCTGCCATGAGTGCAGGGGACTGGATTAGATACCTCTTGAGGTCCCTTCCAGTCCTATGATTCTATGATAACATGTAAGGGCCTCAAACATAGACCAGGGCTCCTCTGTGCTAGGCACTGTACAAATCTCATTCTCCCCAATCCT